ACACACACACACACACACACACACACACACACACACACACACACACGCCGCACTCCCTAGAAGTGTGAGACACTTCCTTTCGCCCTGAGGAAGACATTCAGAAGCCCTCAGACCCCCTGCCAGGCCCTCTCCCTTCTTGTTACTGTCCCCACCTCCTCCTCCACCTGTCCACCTTCCTGGGGGCCTTCTGCCCCAGGGCCTTCGCACGCGCAGCTCTGCCGGCCTGGACGGTCTCCTGACTCTTCAGCTGCTAGCCCTGCGCCTCACTGGAGTCTTGGACAGAACTTCTCTGGGCCCCCAGTCAGGACGCGTTGGCTGGCCCAGCATGGGGACCCCAGGAGGACACCTCTGGGCCCCCAGCCCTGAGCACGTGCAGCCAGCCAGGAGTGACGAGCACTTGAGGAGGGCGTCCCCTTCCCAGCCTGCTCTCCAGTGTCCGCCCCTCGCAGGGGCCGGGGTCTCACTGGACCCTCTCCCTCTGGGGATGTCAAGTCCTGCATCTACACAACAGGGACCTCCTCAATGACGCGAGCGTTCCTGGGAACGGGGGACCCCCATGATCCACTAGTGAGATGAGGACAGTGACTGTGAGAAGCCGTCAGACACCGCGTGCGCGTCTCCGAGGCTGGGCCAGCAAACGGGGACTCGCCCACCCGCCCACCTCCTCGCCTAGGCCTGGACAGGGGGCGTCTGTGAGGCCTCGGGGGCCTGTCTGGACCCAGCCCAAGATGCACGGGGACCCTTACCCTCTCGGGGGATGCAGGCCTGCGCCAGGCCCAGGAGGAGCAGAAACACCGGGGACATCTTCAGAAACGGCTCCAGGCAGCACATGGTGGGGCCGGGACTGGGCTGATGTCCTCCTTCCAGGGTGGACAGCAGTCTGGTCTTCCACCTCTTCCAGGCTGCAGGGCCAAAGCCAGCTGCCCACACATGCCCTCCAGCTGAGCTGGCAGCTGCAGACTGGCGCCCACGCCACCAGCCGCCGGCCAAGGAGCTGCTTCTCCCGCCGCCAGCATCTGCTTTCGCATGGCGAGTCCTGCCCACCTGCCGGCGGGCGAGGGCCCATGCCAAGAGCAGCTCTCATATTTTTATTTGTCTTTTATTTTTGTGGCTTTTATATTTTTAAGTGGTTGGGGGGAAAGACAGAAGGAAACTGTGACATGCGAAAATGACAGAGTGGGAGCTTCTGTGGGACTCACCGTGCCTTCCACCGTGGGCTCTCGGCTGCTCGCACACTACGGGGCAAGGTGGCCCTTGCCTCTGAGTCCCTCTGGTCCCCAGTGCCTAAAGTATGCACTGCCTGGCCCTTTACAGAAAAGCCCCTCTATGCATCTGTGTCCTCAACACATTCCAAATTTCAGAAAAACAGAGCAAGCCAACCACCTCGTCATATTGTACACGGCAACCAGCATGGCTGTCACACCGTCTGTGTTGACACGTGTCTCCAGCACTTACTAGTCACATAAGTGACGTGCCAGGTCCACTGCCTCCTAGTGCCCTGGTCTTGTGCCTGCGGTTGGACCGCAGGCCTGCGAGTCACAGTGTGGACCAGTGGGGTGCAGGCTCTTTCTGCTGGAGCTAACAAGTATCTGGGGAGACAGAAATGAATGTTCTGGGGTCCCATGTTTTCAGGAAATGCTGGGTTCAACATCTCAGAGGTGTTGATAACTAAAGGGTGGGGGATCCCCAAGAGGAGCCTCCACAGCTAGCAGGTGCCAAGAATACTCAAGAAGAAAGGAACGTACAACGGAAAGCATTTCCCGGATTTATCTGACCTTAGAGCTTTTTCTCCTGAAGATCATACACGTGAAACCTCATTTGCCAAGAACCATTGGTGATTCTGAGAGCTCCGCCTGCTGTGGTCCAGCAAGGTCCCATGGGGGACACTGATGCCTGTCCAGCCTCACAGGGCCCTCCTCTCACCTCCCTGCAGCAGGTCACTCGTCCTAGGCCCGCTGATCACGAGGCTCTGCAGGCCCTGGGCTTCCGTGCCCGGGACTGTAGGGCCAAGCCCCTCGATCCTTCTGCCGCTTGGGGCCCAGTTCTGGAGGTCCCTGGAGTCCTCGGCTCAGAGGTCCCCCTCCGTCCTCAAAACCATGACCACAGCACCTCTGAGTCCCTGTGGACTCCCATCCCTCGTCGAGGCCAGCAGGGACCACTCCTCTTCCTCCGGGCAGAGCTCCAGCTCTGAGGTGTCGTCACTTCCTGGTCCCTGCCTCTCGCTTTCACTTGATTGATTGATTGATCGATCGATAATTTGGTGCTGGGGATCAAACCCGGGGTCTTGCACCTGGTAGGCAAGTACTCTACCAGCCCCTCTCCCGCTCCTGGGTACATACTCCAAAGAATCAGAGACCAGCATCCAACGCGTTTGCACGCAGATGTTCACAGCAGAATGTCCGCCAGCAGATGAATGAATCGACGCAGCACCGCCACACCAGGGAGGCCACTCAGCCACAGGAATAAAGGAAGTACTGGACCCCTGGCGCAGGCCAAGTGAACTCCACCAGACACAAAAGGCTGGCTGGCTCACGCCATGGGTGCAGGTGCGTCACTTTCTAGGACAGAAAGTAGGTTAGTGGTTTCCAAAATGTAGGAACAGCAGGGAAAGAGGACCACCTGCCATTCCTCACCTGCCACTCACCTGCCACTCCTCACTGCCACTCCTCACCTGCCACTCACCTGCCACTC